TTTATATAAATATCTATTCAAGCTCTAAAATAAAATTTACTAAAATTTTTATATTATCAAGCTTTAATATTTATATAATTTACAAAAAAACATATTTACTTAGTACAACTTTGACTTTTATATATAGCAACTATTAAACAATTTTTAAAAATTTAGGAGTAGCTTATTTTGGAGTAAAAGAAATTTTAGATTTTTTATATGAAAAAGAGGGAGTAGTTTATTTTTAGTGGCAGCTTATTTTTGGAAAAAATATAGTATATAGATTTTTAGGTAATTAGTTTAGAAAAGTTTTTTTAACTTGTACTAAATTATTATTGTGATAAATTATAATATACTATTTCTGTTTTTATTCTTAATATTTACAAAATAAAATATATATATATATATATATATATATATATATATTTTTAGCTCTTTGACAGTCTTGTCAGAGCTAAAATACAAGCAATTTTATTTAAAAACTTAGTAACAATAAAACTATTTCTAAACTAAAAACAATTTGTAAGAAAATTGCTAGTCTGACATTTTACAGCTAAAATAAACATGTCTATCAGTAACTTGTCACACCATCTTGTATACAAGTTGAATAAAACTTTGTTAGCTCATTGAAAGCTAATCTCTTCAATTCTTCTTTCTTTACCAAGAGCAAAAGAAAGTAATAATTTCATATCAACAATACAAAACTACCAATTAACAAGAAACAAAAGGAAACTATATTTAACAAAAACAAAATAAACAAAAGGAGAATTTTTTATTAAAGATGATTACATTTTAATAATAATTTCTAAAAAAATATAAAAGTAACTGATTTCTTCTTATTAGTATTGTTTAAATAAAAGTCTTTCACCTAAACTTGTATTTTTCTCCATTATCTTTCTCTCTCAATTTTTTTCGCTAAAATCACTTCTATAAATAAATATTTTTTTGCGCAACACTTTTTCATTTTTCAACATTATCTTTTTTTTCTTTTCTTTGTTTACATAAAGTAGATATTCCTTTCTTCTTTACAACTTTTTTTTTGCTGAAATCATTTTTATATGTAAATTTTTTTTACGCAACACTTTTTGTTTTCTACATTACCTTTTTTTTCTTTTCTTCATTTATATAAAGTAGATATTCCTTTCTCCTTTACAACTTTTTTTTTGCTGAAATCATTTCTATATATAAATTTTTTTTGCACAACACCTTTTCATTTCTATATGTTACTTTTTTTTTTTTTTGTTTACATAAAGTAAATATTCCTTTTTTATTTACAACTTTTTTTTTTGCTCTCTATTCTTTTTTTTTTGATCTTTTACCAATATTTTCAATATAGATAATAACTTCTTTCAATATTCGTGATTTTTTTTTTAATTTCTATTTGAAAGGATATAGAGATATCAGATTTTCTAACTTTCTTTCTTAACATAGATAAATATCTCTTTCAATTCGCTTTGCTCTTTTTGAATTCTTAGAAAATATCAAAATACCTGGTTTCTAGTTTGATAGCATTTCCGATACAGGTATTATTTTTTTAAAAATAAAAGACGTTTCGATTATATAATATTTATTTATTCATATTAGTTTTTTTTTAGTTTTGGAATTTTAGAAACACTTTTGGTTTTTTTTTTGTCTAATAGCTAAAATATGACATGCAAATCAACTTTCTTTCATTTTAAATCTTCTTTAAGATTACGATCCTATGAAATAATTTCATAAAAATAGAATTGGTTCTTTTTATCTTCTGATTCAAGTGATTATTCATGTTTTAGTTTTGCTCTCATGCTTATCGTTCTTGCACCTATTGGTCTTATACTCATCAATCTCGTTTATATCATTCCTGTTATTCTCATTCCTGTTGTTCTTACTCTCGTTGTTCTTACTCTTGTCATTCTCACTTTCACTCTTGTCATTTTTATTCTTGCTCTTGTTCTCACTCTTGCTCTTTCTCTTATTCTTGTTCTAGTTCATATTTGCACCGAAATTCATGTGATCATAGTAGATCGGTTGAAGATATATTATTTAGTAAATAATTAATAGTAATATCTGCAACATTATATAACTAATATAATGTTTAAATAATAGAAAAAAATATCAAAAAATTAACGATAAAAGCGCTTTGGAAAAAGGTTAAATAATTTATTTATATTAATTTTTTTTTGTCTAATATGAATACTGGCTAATAAAAATAATATTATTATAAAGAATTTAGCTTTGAAATCTCAAGTATCTTGACTTGAGCAAAGGTTGTTTTGGCTGAAAAAAGCACACTCAAATACATCAGACTTATTATATTCACAGTTGTTAGCTGTTGCAGATAATTTAGAAGAATTTTGTATCGATAACAAAGCCATTCAAGAAAGCTTGTTTTCATCTAGAAAATCCTGTGATCCAAATCAAACAAGGTTTAGAAAAGGGCAATTAATTCCAATAGATCTGGAATATAAAGCAGCTTTTAGGGTATATATTTGCTTTTTTTTTTTTTTTTAGTATTAAGGTAATCTCTTTGGTTTAAGAACTTTTTATTAGAGTATAAATGATGTTTTATAATGTAATTACAACGATGGTACATTAATGCACTTTTGGTGTCTAATTTAAATGGTCCGCCCAAAATGTTAGTACTATGCTAAGGGTTTCACACTATCTGCTGTACCTGCATCCCAACTATAAAGATACCTATTTAAACCATCTGGTTTTAACTACTATCATCTGCCCTCTAATCTATAGATATTACTCACCATTCATATATAAATTTTGTATCTACCCAATTTGAATTTTGCACCCTATCTTAGGACTTACTAACATAAGCTAGTCTATCCTTGAGATAAACCTAACAGAGTGGTACATGTCCCACACATGTATTCACCTGCATGTTCTTCCTAATTAGTATATATTGACCTGCCGTTCCATATGCGTATTTCATACTACCTTTTGGAGTGCTGCCGTTCTAAGGACATTTCTCAAGCACCAACCTTCTTAACTAGACACCTATTACGTACTCCTTGCCCTTATTCGGTTCACAACAACCCCGATATCTGCATTTGGACCATCTTCTTATCTGGATTTTTTATCAGTTCATCTCTTACTTTCAGCCAGCAATCCAGAAGAGTTGGTCTGCCTAGGCTTTAGGTGCCTGAAAGATGCCCTCCCCTTGGTTTATACTTTTGGAGCATATGCACTTTTTCTCTGGGGCGACAACCCGGCAGTTCGGCTAGTATGTCCTTCGCCAGCGGACCTGGTCGCTCGGTTCTCCGATTTCGGGCCCCAGTTCAAATTCACCCCTCCTGTAGTACTGTCAAAGATTATTGCTACCTCCAAATTTAGGACTTGCCAAATGGGTTTTCAGTTATACCGGTTCCTCAGATTTATTGCGCCAAAGCTCCTATTTCTAGATGGTGTAACCGAAATTACAAATTAAGTTCTGGATTCAACTGATAAACATAGCCATCAACTGAATACAGGCCTATTTTTTAAATATCGTCGCCAGTGGGATTTGAACTCTAGACCTGCCACTTGAAGAGAGTGACAACTAGACCACTACACTAAGTCGCTACACCTCCTGGTATATATTTTCTGTTTTCAGTGATTTATTTATAATACTAATAATAGGAATATCAGATTATATTATATTATAATTATAAAAAGAAGTGCTCTGGGCTGCAAAACAATTGGCAAATAATAGCCCTGATTTGAAATTAGATGAAAAAAAAGGATGGTAAGACCAAAAAAATTTTGTTGAATTTACTATCCTTTCTATTATCAAAAAATATATTAACAAAAGCCTCAAATATCTTGATGAAGAAGTTGTTTGAGTGCTTTAAAGCAACTATAAAAATGTTTTAACAGCTACAAAAATTAAAGCAAATGAAGAAAAGTTGAAAGCAAATAGAAAAAAGATCGAAAAAACTCTTAAATACAAAATATAAAATTTTTTAATTTTATTTTTATAATTTTTTTTTTACTATATAAATTATAATTTTATATATGTCTACTTGCTTTCTTGCATTTTTATTTTTTTAAGAAAAAAAAAGAAGAATGGATGAGTTGCAACATATGATTTGAGTTAAAAACTCTGCTATTGAAAAGTATCACCCAAGCTTCATGAGCAAAAAAGCTTGAAAACAAGACCTCACTAAAATAGTTATTGAAACAACTTATTATTCTGATGAACTATTCGAAATGAATATTGAACTTGTAAAAAAAATACTTAATGATAATAAACGTCCAAGTAAAGAAGATGAGAGGTAAATAATAATTATGTAATTAAGATTTATGCTCTAGTGTGGAGATCCAAAAAAATAATTTTTATATTTCATTTTGAATTCATTTTTTTTTGATAATACTCATATCGGACTAATTCTATCTTTTTTTTAAATTTTATTTTGAATTTATTTTTTTGATATTACTTGTATTGGAATAATTCTACTTTTTTTTAAAATTTCATTTTGAATTTATTTCTTTTTGATAATATTTATATTGGACTAATTCTATTTTTTTTTTTTTTAAATAGTACAAAAAGTTCTTTCATAAGGCTAAAAACATAGCTTTAATGAACCAAATTAATAAAATGCAGAGGTACTAATATCAAAAAGATAGTTGAAAAAACAATACAAAACCACCACTTGATACTCTCTATTGGACAATTTCTTCATCCTATGACTATAATAACTGAAGAAATGTTTTTTTGGTACAGCCCAACAATAATAATTCGGAATCAAATGAAATTAACGATCCTGAATTTGATGGTTTGATGTCTAATAATAGTTTGGTATCTAATCGCCATGAATCTAATAATGATATTGTGCCTAATAATAATGATAATTCTGGGCATAATATTAATAATACCACATCAATATAAGTATTTAAAAAAAATATTTAAAAGTTTTATGAATTTTATTAATTTGGTATTTTTTTTAGCTTCAATGATGTTTCTGAATCCAATTATAGTAATCTTAAAACTAAACAACCATACATATTTAAAGTATACTTATAAGGTTTGTAATATATTTATTAATTTTTTATTATTTCGGAACTAACAACTCTGAAACAAACAATTTCAGCATGTCTAACTTCATGTCTAACTTCATGTCTAACTCTATGCTTAACTTTATGTTTAACTTCATATCTAACTCCACATCTAACTCTTCTATACCTAACTCTACACCTAAATCTACGTCCAACTTTACTATGCCGAAATCTATATTTAACACATCTAACTCTATATCTAAACCAATATCAAAAAGTAATTGCCAAAAAGGGTTGGGATCCCACGGCCTAGTAGTCTAGGCACCCAACCCTCCACAAGCAGGTTTCAGGTTTAAGTTTTAGTAGGTATGTTTATCTATGAATATTTGGAAATATCTGCTATGGGAAGTCCAAGTGAATACAGGTCTAAATTAGGAATTTCTGGAAGGAGGTCTATTGTGGAGCAGTTGGCACTATGTGTAATATTGGTCATTATAGAAGGTTCTATTATACAAAGGTTATGCATATAAATCTGTGATTAGCAAGGTAGTATCAACAACTCCTAAAGCGGTATTGAAAATCTTGTTTGGGAGGATGACCAGACAGTAACTAGAATTGAAAGTGGTGAGAAATGTAGTAGTAAAGAATTGGCCTTACCAGATTTGGAACACCTCTAGCACTGTGTAGAATTGCTTACCAAAAGGAGACCAAAGCATGAAGATGTATATATGTCAAGACCCAACGGAGCTCTGAGCATACCCATATAAGAGTCTTTGGACATTAAGAGTGGTTTGGGTTTACCAAAATGCAGATAGCTGGTATAAGTACATGCAGTATATAAATGAGCTACAACTGCTAAAAATCACTATAAAAAGAAACGATGATGCACCTGTTATTCAAAGAACCTCATAATGCTAGTCAACTATCGGTTCTGGAAGTGCAGAGTAACCTGTTACGAAATATGCCTGGGTCCTCGTTACTATAAAAGAGAGTATAGCCATTCGTATAATTACTGAATTTGATACATTAAAACCTAAACTCAGAAAGTTACAGGAAAGTGAGCTAGTTGTGGCAGCATGCAGGCTTGAGATACTTACCTATTTGGGTAGAGGCAGCTGCATGGCTTGAGATATGAACCCCCTACAAGTATGCCAAATAGAAACACAAACTAGGCATACCAAACTGGAAGCATTAAGCATCTACTTGAAGTATTAACATACCAATTTGGAAGTTGAGATAGTAGGTAATGTGGGTGAAGTGGTGGACATGTAGAAGTTAAATAGCAGTAAGTAAGAATATACAAAATCCAGGTCAACAGTATAGTGGAAGTATAGTCGGCTCTAGTGGGTTTTAGCCGTGGATAAATGGTTTGTATACCTAATGTCCTAGTCTTAGTACTTGAAATAATATGTATATCAATCATTTAAGTATTAATAAAGTCTAAGTGCGGGTGCTACACCCTTATAATTAAAAAAAAAAAAGTAATTGCCAAAAAATAAAGATTTTAAAAGCTCTTCCAAAAGTTCTACCTCTTCCAAAGGTTCTTCTAAAGGTTCTTCAAGAGAATCTGCCAAAGATTCCTCTAATAGAAAAGGTCATCTGAATATTTTTATTGGTAATTTCAATTATATCAGAGACGAAGACAAAGATTACAATAATTATACTAAAATGAAAATTTGATTTTTTAGTAATTGTATGTGTTTTTTTTTCTTTAATAATCTTGCACAAATTTATTAAATTAAAATCGGCTAAAATTTTTACATTTAATATACAGATTTGGCATTACTCAGCTACTTGAAAAGTGCCTAAATATAGTTATCACACTGGTATTTGCTAACAGAACCCATATATAGTGCTACCCATACTCATATTTAAAGAACTACTCTAGTATAGTCTTAGCTACTGTATCAGAACTATATCTAATTTCTTCTAATTTTTTTTTTTTTTAGAGACAGCCAATAGCTTAAAGTAAAAAGGGAATTTTTAAACAGAACAAATAAAAAAATGACCAAAAAAAAAAAAAAAAAAAAGAACAAAAAGAAAGAACAAAAAGAAATAAAACAGAATCCTAATAATACTAATAATATTCATGCCAGGTCTAAAAAATTATATACTATATATAAAACTACTTAAGTTTTAATCTATAATATATGTGGACTTATTTCTTTCTGAAACTTTTATTTTTTTCAAAGACAGCTACCAACCAAAACAAAAAAAACAAAAATAAAAAAAAATAAAACAAAAAAAAATAAAACAAATTCTAATAGCACTATTAATGTCTGTACAAAGCCTAAAAAATTATATACTATATATAAAACTAATATAACCTAGCTTTATCTATCCCTTAAATTGTAACACAGGCAAATTTGCCTGCGAAGATTTTTACTAATTTTTTTAACTTTTAAATTTTTTAAT